CCATGTATCTCACAAATACATATACACCTGCTATGTACCCACAAAAATTAAAAATTAAAAAAATAAAGTTATAACTTACAAAGGTTAAGAAAAGAAATTAGGAGTGATGGCTAGTGGGTACAGGATATCTTTTTGGGGTGATGGAAATGTCCTGGAATTAGATAGTGGTGATAGTTGTACAACATTCTGAATATACTAAAAACCACTGAATTGTATACTTAATGTGGTAAATTTTATGTGTATAAAATTAGATAGTGGTGATAGTTGTACAACATTCTGAATATACTAAAAACCACTGAATTGTATACTTAATGTGGTAAATTTTATGTGTATAAATTTTGTCTCAATAAGATATTTAAATAGATATGGCCAAATCACCCTCCAAAAGTGATGTCATAATTTAACTTTCAACAACAGTGTGTGAGAATACCTGTTTTTCCACATCCTTGCCAACAGTAGATATCAGCTTTTAAAATTTTTGCTAATTGAGGGCTGGGGTGCAGTGGCTCAGGCCTGTAATCCCAGCACTTTGGGAGGCCGAGGCAGATGGGTCATGAGGTCAGGAGATCAGGACCATCCTGGACAACGTGATGAATCCCCATCTCTACTAAAAATACAAAAATTAGCTGGGTGTGGTGGTGCACACACCTGTAGTCCCAGCTACTTGAGAGGCTTAGGCAGGAGAATCACTCGAACTCAGGGAAGTGGAGGTTGCAGTGAGCTGATATTGTACCACTTCACTCCAGCCTGGTGACAGAGTGAGACTCCATCTCAAAAAAAAAAAAAAATTTTTTTTTTTTTTTGCTAATTGATAGAAAAAGATTTTTCAAAATTTGCATTTGCTTTGTTGCTATTGGGACTGAACATCTTTTCATAAACTTACTGGTCATTTGTATTTCTTTGCTCTGTGAATCAACTGTTTATAACTTGCCCATTTTTCTACTGTATTGTTTATCTTTTTTTTTTTTTTTTTTTGAGATGGAGTCTCTGTCTCCCAGGTTGGAGTACAGTGGCATGATCTCAGCTCACTGCAACCTCTGCCTCCCAGGGTCAAGTGATCCTCCCACCTCAGCTTCCAGAGTAACTGGGACTACGGGTGTACACCACCATGCCTGGCTAATTTTTATATTTTTAGTGGAGACAGAGTTTCACCATGTTGGCCAAGCTGGTCTGGAATTCCTGACCTCAGGTGATCCACCCGCCTTGGCCTCTCCAAGTGCTGGGATTAGGTGTGAGCTACCGCACTCAACCTGTTTATGTTTTTCTGATTGAGGTGTAATAGCTCCATGTATTTGGGTTGTCAACCCTTTGTCTATTTTTACGTATCAGACTTGTCAGTCTTTTTCTTTGTATGTTTTGAGTGACTTTTAGAATGCCTTTATCAGCCATTATTATATCCATACTCTATTATGTTTTGTTCTGGTATTATTATGGATTTTCACTTACAGGTTTAAGAATGTATTGACTGGTATATGGGTATTGTAGGTAGGGGGTCTGTCTTTTTCTATATATGTAGTAATCTAACCTTTATGTTTTTGTGAACTGCTGCTCAGAGCATTTTATCTCATTTTTCATAGTTTATAGACACAGGAAATTATTTCCTATCCACATAACCAGACTCTGTTTAACCTAAGTATTGACTCCACAAGTCTTTCAAATGGTGAACTCCTTGAATTTAAATTCAATTAGCTTATGTCAGAAGTAGGTCCAGATTTTCTGGGCCTGGATTTTAATAATTTAGGGGATTGGCTTTAATGCAAGAGTACCAAATTAGTTACAGGCCTATGAAGGTGCAGAGACCTGAAATCCAAATTTTCTTAGCTTCCCAGTAAATTCACCCTGGTTACATTATCAGAATGCATCTGCTACATAAAAGGATGAGGAGTGGCCATCTCCATCTCTGGAGTGGTGTGACTTTGTTTTATATTCACTAGCTACCACAACTTCAGGATTTTTTTCTTCCCTTGTTGTTTAAAAAGACATTTAAGAGCAGACACATACATCAAGGTTGCTTTAATGTTGGAAGTAGGAGTTAGTCCAGTGGAAAAGTTCTTTCAGCAGGGTCTTTGCCATCTCTGCATTGCTCAAATGTGATGCATTTGATCAGTGGACTAGCTGAGAGCTTGGTATAATAATGGGGATTGTTAATATTGCATGCCTTCAAAACCTGAATTTACAACTTTAACTTTGCATATGTGCCTGCTTTTGCATTAGAGCTTTGTCAGCACTGTTGAGGGATTTGCATATGCAGCCAACAGGGCTTCCTTTAGCATCCTACCCTGTCAAAAATCCAGGAGGTAAACAAAGATCAATGTTGTCATAAGTAATGCAGAGGACAGCAATAATAATGATACCTAACTTTCACCATGAGCCATATGCTGTGCTAAAACCTGTGTTGTTTTACTTCATCCTCATCATCCCTAATAAGGCAGATGCTATTATGACCCTTACTCTACAGATGAGGAAGTTGAGGTTTAGAGAGAGGATGCCTTATTCAAGGCCTCAGAGGGGGTACTCTAGATGCCCCACCTCCCTTCAAGATCCTTTAAGGCCAGTGCTCTCATTTGACAGATAAGAAGCAGGTTTGGAGAGACCTGAGATGATCTGGACATCAGGTTGTATATGTCAAGCATAGTTTATTTTATGTTATTATTGTTATTTTTTTGAGATGGAGTTTCGCTCTTGTTGCTCAGACTGGAGTGTAATGGTGAATTCTTGGCTCACTACAACCTCTGCCTCTTGGCTTCAAGCAATTCTCCTGCCTCAGCCTGCCAGGTAGCTGGGATTACAGGCATGTGCCACCATGCCTGGCTAATTTTGTACTTTTTGTAGAAACAGGGTTTCACCATGTTGGTCAGGCTGGTCTCGAACTCCTGACCTCAAGTGATCCACCTGCCTTGGTCTCCCAAGTGCTGGGATTATAAGTGTGAGCCACTGTGTCCAGCCTCAAGCATAGTTTGTTTGTTTGGTTTTGAGATGAAGTTTCACTTTTGTTGCTCAGGCTAGAGTGCAATGGTGAGATCTTGGCTCACCGCAACCTCTGCTTCCCAAGTTCAAGTGATTCTCCTGGTTTAGCATCCCGGGTAACTGGGATTATAGGCGTGCATCTCCACACCCGGTTAATTTTGTATTTTTAGTAGAGATGGGGTTTTTCCATGTTGATCAGGTTGGTCTTAAACTCCCAACCTCAGGTGATCTGCCCACCTTGGCCTTCCAAAGTGCTGGGATTACAGGTGTGAGCCACCTTGTGTAGCCAAGTATAGTTTTAAAAACTTTGCTGGTCTTATTAATTCAATCCCTGTAAGAGTCTGGCAAGATAAATACTATTATTATTTCTGTTTTACAGATAAGGAAACTGAGACACAAAACTTTCCAGGTTCACATAGCTACCAAGTGAAAGATGTAAGGTGAAACCTTCAGCAGCCTGCCTCCAGAGCCAGGCTCCTACCCTCGCTCTACAGCTGCCTTACAGGGAGTACTATTAAAGCTTAGTAAGGTTATGACTTATTACATCACATCTCTGAGCCTCCCAGAAGCAGAGAAATACCAAGGCCTTTCATTTTTAATTTCTAAAGTTATTTTTTATTTATATAGACGGGATCTTCCACTGTCACTCCGGCTGGAGTGTAGTGGCACAATCACAGCCACTGCAGCCTTCCACCCTTGGGATTAAGCGATCCTCCCATCTTGGCCTCCCAAAGTTCTAGGATTACAGGCATGAGCCACGGTGCCCAGCCTATTTTTTTTAATGAAGAAATGCCTAAACTGTGTTAGAGAAACTGTGCCATATTTAAAATGATTAAATTTGACGAATTCCCTTAAGATTCTAAAAATGCAATACAATTCTGCTCTTTGAAAGATAGTTATGAGATTCAAAAGAAACATTAATAAATGGGGCTTTTATAGTTAAGGTGATATGGGAAATGACGCATAATTGAAAGTCAATGATGAATATCTTCTTTCATTTCTGTGTCTGTAGTTTGGAGAACACGCCAGAAATTTTAACTCGAGACTCTTTGAGAATGAGAGAACAGAATGAAAGAATGCGATTTGGTGGTATATAGAACCAGCAGCCTTGCGTCTGACCTTTGTTTTTCCATTGTTTGTGGCTAAAAGAATAAATGTTTATAGAAGATTTTACTGAAGTACTGAGCTTTGTTGTTTTTGGTAAAATGAAGAGCCACTGTATGCTGATTAATAAGAGATAGGCTTTGGTTTTATATTCTTCTGTATTTTTCTCAGTTAGTTTCTTTTCAAACATTTTTTAACTTTTGATTATATCCTGATCAGACTTGAGTTTTCTAGGGAAGAAAGAAGTTTTTTTTTTTTTTTTTTAAGTCAGAGAATAAGTTTCCAAATTTCCAAGTCATTATCCCCAGAGGAATAAATTAAAATGCAGGGCCTATTTCCAACCCCATTAGTGACTTCCCTGTAGCTTTAGGAAGATCAATTAACCTTTGACTCAATTCTTTGCCTGTACAGTAGGAATGGCAGTATTGACATCAGATTTTTCCAAAGTATTTCTTGAGACTTGAGTGAAAGGTAGTTAAAAATACTTCCTGCATTATTCCTGGATCCCCCTAGAATGGGCTCCAATTACCAGTCACTTAGAAGAATTTATAGGTAAGACTCTTATCATGTGTTTCTAATCACAACTTTCACAGTTGTGATTTGGTGTTTCAATTCTAAAGCTAATGTTTTGGAAGTGACTGCTTTCTTTGAGGGTTAGAAAACATGCCCACATTTCCATACAATTGTCACATTCTTATTAGCACATCACCCATCCATCTCTTACAGGATCATGCAACTCTGTTCATAGATATAATCAGCTTTGTGTTTTCATTCAGGTATAACAAACTAGCAAGGTTGAAATCTTGAATTGTCATCAGAATTGAATTGCCCCCTGGAGCTGGGAGGGAATGAGATTGAGTCCAGCTCTTCAGAAATGGCAGTTATCTTTAGAATCTCAATCACCTCCTCTCCCTTTCTTCTCTTTCCAGTATGGTGACTACGACCCCACTGTTCACAAGCGAGGATTTTTGGCCCAAGAGGAATTGCTTCCAAAAAGGGTAAGAGATTAAATTCCCTTTTCAGGAAGAGACAGCAGATATGTGGTCTAAAAGAAAGCTAACCAAAGGACTTGAAGGAATATTGGAAGTACATGGCAAGAAAATTTTAATAAATATTTTGTAATCTCCAGTAAAGAGTGTGGGGGATCTCTGTTAAGAATATTAAAAAGCAAAGGTTTCTGGAGTCAGTTTGGTGTCACCAGGACTAGCATGGCCTGTAAAATGTTTTTTCTAGCATGGTTATTTCTTTAAATGCGATTGAGCATCTCTGATTCCCAAGGAAGAGGCTGAAGCAGGGTGTATTCAGCTAGGGGAATTGAGCTGTTTGCAGTGGCGAGGGGTGGATAAAGGAGATGAGGTAGGGGTGGGCATTGTGGTTTTTAATCCTCATCGTTGTTCATCTTATTCATTAGCCAAACAAGCAGGCCCGCCCTCCCTTTTCCTCCTGCCTATTTTATAGCCCCCTTCATCTGTCACCAGGTAATAAAGGCCCTGTCCTCACCTCTCACTGCCTTTACCTTTCCCTCAATGGCTTCTGAGCACGCAAAGGCCTGAGACAAGTGAGCGTTGCTTCTGACTGAGTTCCGCTGCCAGAGGTGGTCTCTGGGATGTACCACCCAGGCAGGGAACAGGGGCACTGCCAGACAAGGGATCCACCTAGGTCTGAGCTATCGTGCAGCTTTCTGAGTTGCTCCTCTAATAGAATGGTGCCTTATTTACACACCTTCTCTGTGTGTGACTATCTTCCTGGGTGTAGCTTTTTAAAAATAGCTTTACTGTTTTGTAGAAATGATGCGTAATTATAAAAGTGGCAAACAATACCCAAACTTACATTGTGTGTAGGTTTTTTATTTTGCTGGATTTTTTGGTAGGTAATAAATCTGTATCAGATGACTCCAGAAATGTGGGAAGAGAGAATTACTGCCTGGTACGCAGAGCACCGAGGCCGAGCCAGGTGAGGCCCATTCACTGTTGTTTATGTTCCTTTATGGGTTTTTTTTTTTTCCTTAAAGAACTGCAAAATAAGGACATGGTTGTTGAACAAAACGCAGTACTGAAGTCTATAAAAGAAAAAGGGAGAGCTGGGAGTAGCGTTAATCTTCAGTTTTGTGTGTGTTCTTTTTCTAGTGCATATGATATAAAGTAGGTATGCGTACTACCTGTCAGGATGTGTAGACCTGCACTCATTGGTAACTCAGTTTAATTTTAAGATTTTTTTTTTGTTTTTTGTTTTTGGAGACAATCTTGCTCTGTTGTCCAGGCTGGAATACAGTGACGCCATCTCAGCTCACTGCAGCCTTGACCTCCTGGGTTCAAGCAAACCTCCTGCCTTAGCTCCCCCACCCCACCCCAGCTGGCACTACAGGTACATGCTACCACGCCCAGCTAATTTTTGTATTTTTAGTAGAGATGGGATTTCACCATGTTGCCCAGGCTGGTCTTGTAGGTTTTTCACTTTTACAAAAATTTCTGCAGCACACAATCTTATTTCAATATGATACGTGTTTGGGAGTTATACAGTTATATGAGTAGTTCTGAGGATATGTTCTTTAAAACGAGAGTTGCTGGGTCAGAGCATCTGAGCATTTTGCATTTTGATAGGTACCACCAAATTGTTCTCCGAAAAGGCTGTACCTGTTTATACATGCCTGTCGACAAGTGTTATGAGAGTGTCCATCCCCAACCCCATTCTATCCTTAACACTTGTATTTATCAATCTAATTTTTGTAATCTAAAAACTGAAAAGTTGTGTCTCATGTTAGAATTGGCATTCCCCTGATTACTTTAGGAACTGGTCATGTTTTCTTTTTTTTTTTTTTTTTTTTTTTGAGACGGAGTTTCGCTCTTGTTACCCAGGCTGGAGTGCAATGGCGCGATCTCGGCTCACCGCAACCTCCGTCTCCTGGGTTCAGGCAATTCTCCTGCCTCAGCCTCCTGAGTAGCTGGGATTACAGGCACGCGCCACCATGCCCAGCTAATTTTTTGTATTTTTAGTAGAGACGGGGTTTCACCATGTTGACCAGGATGGTCTCAATCTCTCGACCTCGTGATCCACCCGCCTCGGCCTCCCAAAGTGCTGGGATTACAGGCTTGAGCCACTGCGCCCGGCCTCTGGTCATGTTTTCATTAGCCTTTAAAATTTTTTTCTCTTCTTCAAATCAGTTTCCTAACACATGCTTTTTTTAAAAAAAAAAGAAAAAAAAAAAAGAGCAACGTGCTTATGGAGAAGTAGACAAATTATAAGTATACAATTTGATCAGTTACCATAAGGCAAAAACACCATGTAATACCAGAGAAAGAAATAACCTATGCTTCCCCCACCCCCAATTCCCCTTTCTTCCTCCCCAAAGGCTACCAGTCTACTGATTTTTAATTCCAGATTGGTGTTGCCCATTTTAAACTTATTCTGTTTTTTGTGTCTCATTTATTTTACTCAACATCATATTGTTAGATTTGGTTTCGTGGCATGTGGCAATAGTATTTTCATTTTCACTGCTGTGTAAACTTCCACTGTATTAGTATACTACAAGCTATTGATTCAATTCTACTAATGATGGACAGTTAATTGTCAGTTGTCTCCTGGTTTTTGCTGTTAAAATAACGTCAAACAGTTTCCCAAAGTAATTGTACCAATTTTTTTTTTTTTTTTTTTTTTTTGTGAGAGTCTTGCTCTGTTGCCCAGGCTGGAGTGCAGTGGCGGGATCTCAGCTCACTGCAACCTCTGCCTCCAGATTCAAGCGATTCTCCTGCCTCAGCCTCCCAATTAGCTGGGATCACAGGCATGTGCCACCATACTAGGCTAATTTTTTGTTTTAGTAGAAATGGGGTGTTACCGTGTTGGTCAGGCTGGTCTTGAACTCCTGACCTCAAGTGATCTTCTGTCTTGACCTCCCAAGATGCTGGGATTACAGGCATGAGCCACCGCACCCGGCGTAATTGTACCAGCTCACATGAGCATGTGTGTGATTTCTGATTTCTCTACGTGTTCACCAGCATTTGGTGTTCTCTCAGGTTGGATTTTTAAAATTCACTTGAGAGCATTTGGAGATTGGAGAGAGAAGGAAGAGAACAAGGTTATAGGAAGACTTTAGTTAAAATATTTCAATATGATACCTATATGGGAGTTTTCTGCAAGTCATTGCTACTTCAAGAGCTTACTTTAAATATGACTTATAACTTAGATGAAGGTGATCTGACATGGGTTTTACAACCCAGATAGCTCTTGCCCTAACCTCTGACAATACTCAGTCAGAAAGCTTGCAGAGAGAGTGGTTTCATTTCTAAAACTGTCTAGATAAAGAAAGTACACAAAGATAAAGCAAGAATTTAAATAAAATGTGAACACCCAAATCTGTTTGAGGGTAGAAGATAACATACCACACACTCTTCTTGAATTACGGTTTACCAAGGGGAAAGTGGGAAATTAAGGCTAAGAAACACCGTGATCAGTCTGTTCTCTGACTCTCATTTGATGGGGATGGGAAATTCTGCTTGATCACAGTGTGTTTAATAGATTCGGGGCAGGGTGGAGCTTTGCCAGTATCTGCTGAGGCTCTTGTCTTCTGCCAGCAACATGGCTCTAGAGGAATGGCAGCGTCAGAATGCTTGCCTTGGTGCCTGCCCGCTCTCCACCCATCTCACTTAGTGACAGTGTCTTCCATTCTCCCCACAGGGATGAAGCTGAAATGGAATATCTGAAGATAGCTCAGGACCTGGAGATGTATGGTGTGAACTACTTTGCAATCCGGGTGTGTTGAAACCTCTGTGAGCTCAACAGAGACTAAATGAGGGTCAGACTGCTAAAATAGGTTACTTCTTCATTCCAAGATGATAGAATCTTTTAAGCTTCCATGGTAGGTAGAGAAAAATAGAGGAGGGAGAGAGAGGTCTTAGTGCCTAACTTTCTATTTTTGGACTTCAATTAGATCATAGGTAATTAAGTGTCACTTGAGCCTTGGGGGACTTGGACCTGGTTCTGCTCTCAGCAGAAACCTGTTTGAATGGTGTGAGTGTAAGATTTGATTATTTCTGGCTCTGTGAGATCTTGGTCCACAGGGAGCACCTGTAAGTACTTCTCCCCGCCCCCATACACCCCATCCCCACCCCTGCCCCAGGCACTAGGAGAGTAGATCTGCCTTTATAGATTACTGATTTGTTTGGGATTCTCACTGTGCGGCTAATTGGTTTTCTATTCAGACCATTAATAGTCTGCTGTCTGCTGGGAACTCACTGATTCTGTGGGGAGAGGCATTTGTGTGCAGCCCAGATCTGGGCCTTTAGAATGTCTTTCTCCTGTGGGTCAGTTGCTGGTTGCAGTGAATAAGGCAGCTTCTTCCAAAGGGGTACATGTGATTTGCCAAAGCATTTCACCACCGACTCCAAACTGCGGATGAGTAGATGTTAAAACAATCAGGCAGGTCCACCTTTATTATCATAGTCATGCTTTGCTTTCCCTTATTGGGTTCCTACAGTTGTATTAAATTCAGGTAAAGTGAAACACATTTTAAATATTCTAGGATAGCTTTCTACTTAATTTGTATTTTATAAATACAGATTTGTATGGATTACTCTGCATAAGAAAATAAGGCACACTTAAAATGTCTAAAAGATGCTCCATAATAGTGCAGGAAGGTCTTTTCTAAATTTCTGTCAGTTTGTATTTGCTAATTGCTTGGTTTCTTTAACATCAAACTAGTGTAACATATTTCTTTTCTTTTCTTTTCTTTTCTTTTTTGAGGCAGAGTCTAGCTGTGTTGCCCAGGCTGGAGTGCAGTGGTGTGATCTCGGCTCCCTGCAACCTCCACCTCCCAGGTTCAAGCGATTCTCCTGCCTCAGCCTCCTGAGTAGCTGGAACCATAGGCGCTCGCCACCACGCCTGGCCAATTTTTTGTATTTTTAGTAGAGATGGGGTTTCACCATGTTAGCCAGGCTGGTCTCGACCTCCTGACCTCGTGATCCGCCCTCCTCAGCCTCCCAAAGTGCTGGGATTACAGATGTGAGCCACCGTGCCCAGCCCACTTTTTTGTTTTTTTAAACATCTTTTTTGTTTTTTAGAGGTGGAGTTTTGCCATATCACCCAGGCCTGCTAGGCTCAAGTGATGCTTCCAAGTAACTGGGGTGCACCACTGTGTCTGGCTGAAAAAGTTTCTTATTAGGGAATATTTCTACATCAGTCAGACTAATGGATTCTGTTTTGTATGTGTGTTTCCTATATTGAGCAGTAGACAAAGCTACTGGCTATTTTAGTGTCTTTTGTGTTAAATTTCCTGATATCTCACCATTAACTAAGGAAGATGTGTGCTTAAAACAGTTTAAAAGGGGCTGCTTGAGTCTACAGCTCTGTCTGTTTAATCTCTAGAAAGTGTTGGAGTCAAAATGGTAGGAAGCAGAAGGCTGAATCTTTTTTTAAAAATGTAAACCAAATAGAAACAAAATGAAACATCTTATTTTCCAAATGTACTGCAGATTTTAAAGTACAAAACCTCACTTCTATTAATGCAGTAGCTTTCTTAGCTTTGCTGACAAGCAGAAGAATCTCTCACGGTTTGGTGATAGCGCCTGACTTCAGGGCGTTAGGAGTAAAAAGATTTATGCTGGAGTACTCACTCCTACATCTGATGTCTGCTGTTAGATTGATACTTCTCCTCATGGTCCCAGCACCTTCTCGGTTTGCAGATCTGTTTTCCTGCCCTTGGGTCTTGGTTCAATTTCTGTTATCAGCAAGGGGTCAGAAGCTGTAGTATCCTTGTGCAGCAAGTTTCCTTCTGCCTCCAAATGAGGGCTGGACCACAGCACCGGCAGGTGGACCTGCACGTGAGGATACGGCCACCAAGTGTGTAGCAGGGTCAGTGCCGTGGGCGCCCAGGGCACCTGCCGCGGGCTGCTCTGACTGCTGGCCAGGACCACTGTCAGAGGCAGAGCATAGGTACAGCTTTTAGACAGCTTTGCTGATGAATAATTTCTATAGAATTCCTTTTGATAAATATTTTCCAACATGCAATTATTAAAAATTTCAAACTTACAGGAAAATCAAAAGAATTTTTCAGTGAATACTTATGTATATGCACAACCTAGATTCTACAGTTAACATTTTACCAGACTTGTTTTATCACATGAAGACTACATTTGATCATAAAATGAGACCATCCAGTCCCAGGCACTTAACATTTTCTTTCTAGTAGTTCAGCAACAGTTTCCTTAAACATAAGAAGTCGTTAAACCTATGGGCTTTAATTCTACACATATGATAGCCTGGTTATTTAACGAGAGGCAACAACACGTACGTTACTCTTCCTTTAGCCGTCGAGCCAGTGACAGAAGCCCTCAGTGATCGTTCTGGGGGACTCAGAAGTCACAAGAATGGTACAGTTTTGCTTCTGCCTATCCCGGTTCAGAAAGCTGAAAGCTTCTTGGTTTATAAAACAGCTGTGACTTCTGTTGGGACCTGCTGAAACTTGTCACATGTGACAGTGTATGCCAGATTCTTTGGAAGGTTGAATTAAAATTTTGAGCCTCAGCTGGAGCTTACAGTGGCTGTTCTTATTGGATCCACAGAATAAAAAGGGCACAGAGCTGCTGCTTGGAGTGGATGCCCTGGGGCTTCACATCTATGACCCCGAGAACAGGCTGACCCCCAAGATCTCCTTCCCGTGGAATGAAATCCGAAACATCTCATACAGTGACAAGGAGGTAGGACGTGTCTGTACTGCAGATGCCACTAGGGCCCGGGGGTTCAGCAAAAGAGCTTTCCCCGTCTGTCCCCCTCACTGGAGCCTCCCCAGCCAGGGCATCTTGTTGTTATTTGTAGAATCCTTTAATTCCCAGGCTTTGGGGGTGTGGTTGTTGGGTTTTGAAATATTTACAGAACAGTACTGGCATCAGTAACCCCACTATGACTAACAGGAAACTGGGAAGCTCAGCTTGTCAGGGAGAAACCCCAAAGAATAGTAAACAAAAACAGTCACATTTTCTCATTACTTGGCTTTCTATTTCTGTTGATAAATTCTCTTTGAATTTTTTTTTCTTTTTTACAGACAGGGTTTCATTACATATGCCCAGACTGAATTTGAACTCCTGGGCTCAAGCTATCCTTCCACCTCAACCTCCTGAGTAGCTACTACAGGTGTGCGCCACCTGGCTTAAATTCTCTTTGTATTTTAAGTGTGGTCTTTATTTAAGACCAGAATATATGTGGTAGAGAAATATATATACACGTACACACATATGGACATATATGTGTTTTGTGTGTGTAGCTCAGTAATGATATAAATAAGGATATTAGGTTAATATGCTTACAAGAATTCAAAAATAATTAGGCTTGAATAACTCAGATGAATGGTCTTGGAGTTCAAATATTTTCATACAGGGTGGTGACTTTTCCCAAAAAGGTCCCATAGGCATAATCTTTTTTTTTTTGAGACGGAGTTTCGCTGTTGTTGCCCAGGCTGGAGTGCAATGGCACAATCTTGGCTCACCGCAACCTCCACCTCCTGGGTTCAAGCAATTCTCTTGTCTCAGCCTCCCAAGTAGCTGGGATTACAGGCATGTGGCACCACATCCGGCTAATTTTTTGCATTTTTAGTAGAGACGGGGTTTCACCATGTTGGCCAAGATGGTCTCGATCTCTTCACCTCGTGATCCACCCACCCCGGCCTCCCAAAGTGCTGGGATAATCTTATGTTCACTCATCTATCCATCCATTCATTCATTCTTCGTTAATTTTATTTTATTATTTCTGTCTTTTGAGACAGAGTCTCATTCTGGCTCCCAGGCTGGAATGCAGTGGCACATGATCATGGCTCACTGCAGCCTTGACCTCTCTGGGCTCAGGTGATCCTCCCACCTCATCCTCCCAGGTAGCTCAGACTACAGGCGTCTGTCACCACATCTGGCTAGTTGTTTGTAGAAATGGGGTTTTGCTAGCCGGGCGCGGTGGCTCAAGCCTGTAATCCCAGCACTTTGGGAGGCCGAGGCGGGTGGATCACGAGGTCGAGAGATCGAGACCATCCTGGTCAACATGGTGAAACCCCGTCTCTACTAAAAATACAAAAAAAATTAGCTGGGCATGGTGGCGTGTGCCTGTAATCCCAGCTACTCAGGAGACTGAGGCAGGAGAATTGCCTGAGCCCAGGAGGCGGAGGTTGGGGTGAGCCGAGATCGCGCCATTGCGCTCCAGCCTGGGTAACAAGAGCGAAACTCCGTCTCAAAAAAAAAAAAAAAAAAAAAAGAAATGGGGTTTTGCCACATTGCCCAGGCTGGTCTTGAACTTCTCGGCTCAAGCGATTCTCCCACCTCAGCCTACCAAAGTGCTGGAATTACATGTGCGAGCTGCCATGCTCGGCAATTCTTCATTACTTTTAAAGGAATTATTGAGCATCTGCTTTGTGTTAGATTTCATGGGGAAAACAAAGAGGTAGAAAATCTAGTCTCAGCCTTCAAGGAAGTCCAGTAACTACTCACCTGCTATAATAAATAAGTGCTGTGGAAGAGACATGATGATGACGGTATAGCCTTCCACATACAAGCACTTTCACCCCGACCCTCTAAATTTAATCTCTATTAAGAACACTGCTGTAAAGGCAGGGGTTGTGTTGTCATTATCTCTGTGCCACATCAGGAAGCAGAGACACAGAAGGATCAAGTGACCTGTGTCTGAGTGAAATAGCAGAGGGTAAGAGTTGGAGTTGCTGATGCCACAACCCCCACCTTTCAGGGAGACCCAGAGGCTGAGGCCTGAGAGCACAGGGGCACCACGCAGAGGAGGCTCCGCTCAGTGACCTCCTGGTACCTGCACAGCCAGGACACAGAGTAGGGAATGAAGTACAGGAACGGCTTATGTTGATGCCTGCAGAGCCCCGGCCGGAGTGTATTTCCTGTTTTCTCTTTCTTCATGGCAACTCAAGGAAACAAACACCAACCAGGCCCTTGGCTTCCAGTATGTGGTTGGGATCTACTCAGCCCTGCTTGATAAGACAGACCAAGCCACTTAATTCAAAACATTCTGACTTTGAAGTTTTTGTAAGTAGTTAGCCCAGGAGATAAGCATTTAGGTATTTCTTTTTTAAAGTATTTAAAATGAGCCGGGCGCGGTGGCTCAAGCCTGTAATCCCAGCACTTTGGGAGGCTGAGGCGGGTGGATCACAAGGTCAAGAGATCGAGACCAACCTGGTCAACATGGTGAAACCCCGTCTCTACTAAAAATACAAAAAATTAGCTGGGCGTGGTGGCGCATGCCTATAATCCCAGCTACTTAGGAGGCTGAGGCAGGAGAATTGCCTGAACCCAGGAGGCGGAGGTTGCGGTGAGCCGAGATCGCGCCATTGCACTCCAGCCTGGATAACAAGAGCGAAACTCCGTCTCAAAAAAAAAAAAGTATTTAAAATGAAAGTTCCACATGATATAAAGTGGTACGTGTGCACCGTATGGTAGTTTTTCATCTCCCAATTTCATAGTCCGTTTATCGCACATCCACACATTTGTGCGCTAAAGGCTCCCTAAATATCCGTTCTTCAAAGAACCCAAGGATTAAAGTCTTCCCTAGTATGGCCTGACACAGTAAACTCCTAATATGCTCCCTCCGGGGCCAGGCGCCATCGTGTTCCATCATGTCAGTAACTCATGCAGTAAGCAGACCCCAAGCTGACTTGACATAAAAGAAGTAGTCTTGGTAGTTATGCATGACAGCCGGGCTGTCAAAACAGAAATGTTAGTTTATTTTAAGCGATCCATTGATTCTTTGTGTACAGCCTGGCGTGGTGGAGAGCCTGCGGAGATCTGGGATCTGTTTGGTCTTAGTGGGAGTGGTTGAGAGCAGCAGCCATTTGTTCCTTACAGGCTTTCCTGCTAGGGTCTGACCCTGGGCTCTCCTACCAGGCCACCACCCTATCCTTATCATTCATCTTTCTCTCCACTTTGATTTCAGGATCAGGAATTGTTTTCCTTTCTCTGATAGTCCACTTTTTTCCCATTTGATTCTTTCTATTAACAGCTTTTATCAAATTATTCCCATGTTCAGAAACCTGTGGTGAGTCTGGGTATCCTGTCACATCAAATCTAAACACCCTTTTTTTGAGATAGGGGTCTCACTTGTTGCTCAGCCTGGAGTGCAGTTGTGCAATTACAGCTCACTGCAGCCTCTAACTCCTGCCCTCAAGTGATCTTCCCACCTCAGCCTTCCAAAGTGTTGGGACTACAAGTGTGAGCCACCATACCCGGCCACCTCTGACTTTTATTCTCACTGCCAGCCCCTATGCCACCTCTTATCCCTCCCAGGCTAAGCCTGTTTATCATCTTAGTCACCAAAAAGCTAATCTCACACACACACACACACATACACGCACGCGCGCACACACACACACACACACACACACACAGAGCTCATTTCCCATCTCTGCCTTATTACTGGTGCTGCCCTGTGCACAATGCCCCTTCAGCCTGCCTTTTAGCTACCCTGTTGGATTCTTCTTTTGAGATCAGCTTCACTATCTCCTGCTTATGGTGGATCTACTCGAAACCTTCCCACACATTTGTGATTTGCACCACCCTATGAAGCACTAATACATGATGCGATTTCTTGAGTAATTGGCTGTTGTTAGCCTAGCTCCAACTGGATGGTGAGCTTCATGAAGGCAGGGCCAGGTGTCCTCAAACTACGGCCGGCAGGCCGCATGCGACCCCCTGAGGCCATTTATCCGCTCCCCCCGTCCCCTCCCCTCGCCCGCCGCACTTCAGGAAGGGGCACCTCTTTCATTGGTGGTCGGTGAGAGGAGCACAGTATGTGGCGGCCCTCCAACGGTCTGAGGGACAGTGAACTGGCCCCCTGTGTAAAAAGTTTGGGGATGCCTGCCCTAGACTGTAGCCCTCCAGTGTTGGGCTCAGGCGTGGGCCCATTAACCATGCTTATTTTAGGTTGTCAAGAATCCCTTCCTCACACTCATGCCTAAGATGGTCTAGAGAGTGCACCTTCCACAGCCCTAGACTTGGTGCCCATAATTCCCCGAGGATACTGGGAAGCCAGGACAAGGCATAACTTAATGCCTGGATACTGGGAAGCCAGGACAGGGCGTAACTTCATGCTGGTCTGTGGCCAGTGTGGCTGCTGCATTTGTGGAATTTCCAGTTGGTGGTAACATTTCAGGCTGTGGGACTGAAACTGTGTTCTGCTTCCTTCTTCCAGTTTACTATTAAACCACTGGATAAGAAAATTGATGTCTTCAAGTTTAACTCCTCAAAGCTTCGTGTTAATAAGCTGGTAAGTTGAGATCCTGGTTTTCATTACTGATAATGGTAGCTTTTGTAGAATTGAATACTTCTTTTTAAAGAATATCAGAGTGGGTCGGGCACAGTGGCTCACTCCTGTAATCCCAGCACTTTGGGAGGCCAAGGTGGGAGGATGACAAGGTCATAAGATCGAGACCAGCCTGGCCATCATGGTGAAACCCTGTCTCTACTAAAAATACAAAAATAAGCTGGGCATGGTAGTGTGAGCCTGTAGTCCCAGCTACCTGGGAGGCTGAGGCAGAAGAATTGCTTGAACCCTGGAGGCGGAGGTTGCAGTGAGCTGAGATCTTACCATTGCACTCCAGCCTGGGCGACAGAGCGAGACTCTTTCTCAAAAAAAAAAAAAAAAAAAAAAAAAATCAGAGTGACGCTGGGCGCTGTGGCTCACGCCTGTAATCCCAACTCTTAGGGAGGCAGAGGCAGGAGGATAGCTTGAGCCTAGGAGTTCGAGACCTGCCTGGGCAATATAGTGAGACCCTGTTCTCCACAAAAAAAGGAAAAAACCAAAAAGACAAAAAAAAAATCAGAGTGACATCTTGTGAAGTGTAGAATGCTCTCTCACTTGGTGCACACTTTCTCTTTAGCTTAAAGAGTTAAAACCAAATTATGAGGAAACTTTACAAGGATTTTTATTGCAGTATTTCATACATATAAAAGGATAAGCATAACTTATATAAGTTATAAAGAACAACAAAAGTGAATATCTGTGTACCTATGACCCCGCTTTAAGAAATAGCACTTATACTAATACTGTTGACCCTTCATGTTAACATCCTACTGGTCCCAATACTGTTGACCCTTCATGTTAACATCCTACTGGTCTGTCCCTTCCCTCTCCCCAAGGGTGATCACTGTTGTAAGTTGAGTATTCATTATCCCCTTGCTTTTCAACAGAATTTTATTTCATATATGGCAAAATTAAAATACTATTCAGTGTTACGTGTTTATGAAATTTAAGTGCTGTCAACTATATATATTCTTCTGTTACTTGCCTTTTCCTTTTTCATTTTCTTTGGAGATATATCTTTGTCGATGCTTAAAGATGATTTATTCTCACCTCTGTAGCACTCTGTTATAGATATAAATTTTTTCTCATTCTTCTTTCAGTGGATAATTAAGTGCTTTTTACTTCTATACTGTTTTAACAGGCTGTTAAGAAAACTTTGTATCTGCCTCCTGGTGCATGCACATAGGCAATAGTTTCTTTGGAGTCTTGAGTATACTGGGCTAGGTGGGGGTGGCTCACACCTGTAATCCCAGCACTTGAGGAGGTCAAAGTGGGAGGATTGTTTGAGGCTAGAGTTCAAGACCAACCTGGCCAACATAGCAAGACCCTGTCTCTAAAAAAATGAATATAAATAAAATTTTTAAGGTGAAAAATAGAGTTTAGAGTATATACACAGGAATAGAAGAATAGGGCTCAGTATATGTTCAGATTTCAAAATTGTGATACATTATTTTCTAAAGAAGGTGAATTGATTTTTACAGACCCAACAGTAATGGGTGAGACTTCTTTTTTGCTATCCTTAATACTTGTATTATCGGTCTTTTAAAATTTTTGCCAATCTTGTACATGTAAAATGATATCTCATTATCATATTAACTTTTTTTTTTTTTTTTGAGACGGTCTCATTCTGTAGGCCAGGCTGAAATGCAGTGACACAATCATGGCTCACTGAAGCCTAGACCTCCCAAGGCTCAGGTGATCCTCCTACCTCAGCCTCCCGAGTAGCTGAGAGTACAGACGCACTCCACCATGCCCAGGCTAATATTTTGTATTTTTTACAGAGAGGAGGTTTCACCATATTGTCCAGTTTTATCTTGAACTCCTGGGCTCAAGCCTGCCTCCACTTCCCAAAGTGCTGGGATTACAGACATATGCCACCATGTCTGGCCAAATTTTTTTATTTTTTTATTTTATTTATTTATTTATTTTTATTATTATATTTTTTTGAGACGGAGTTTCGTTCTTGTGACCCAGGCTGGAGTGCAATGGCGTGATCTCGGCTCACCGCAACCTCCGCCTCCTGGGTTCAGGCAATTCTCCTGCCTCAGCCTCCTGAGTAGCTGGGATTACAGGCACGCGCCACCATGCCCAGTTAATTTTTTTTTTTAGTAGTTTTAGTAGAGGCGGGGTTTCACCATGTTGACCAGGATGGTCTCGATCTCTTGACCTCGTGATCCACCCACCTCGGCCTCCCAAAGTGCTGGGATTACAGGCTTGAGCCACCGTGCCCGGCCAAATTTTTTTATTTTTTGTAGAGATGGGGTCTCGCTATGTCACCCAGCCTGGTTTTGAACTCCTGGGCTCAAGAATCTTCCCACCTTGGCCTCCGAAAGTGCTGGGATTACAGGTGTGCGCCACTACCCCTAGCCTGTTTTCATAATATTGGCTGTATCTTCCGGTTTGTAGCTCTGTTTTTCTTTTGTTACATCTTGACAATACAAATTTTTAATTTTAATGTAGACAAATATGTAGATTTTTTCCTTAATCACTTTTTTTTGTGTCTTACTTGGTATCTTCTCTTATCCTATGATCATAAAGATGTTCTTCTATATTGTTTTCTAAAATTTCAAAGGCTTGATCTTTGTATTTAAGTCTTTAATCCTTCTGGAGTTGATTTTTGTGTAAGGTGTGAGGGAGGGATCCAGCTTATTTTTTTTCCACATGCATAACCTGTTGTCTCAGCCCAGCTTACTGAAGGAGCTTTCCTATCCTCCCTACATCTTGACGTAGGAGAGTAAGGTGCACCCAGAAGACATGGTGAAGTGTCCTCCAGTCCTGTCTTCATTTGTGATTTTTAGTTCCTGGCATATCTGAAGCACCTTCGTTTTGCATGTATCCAGAGCTAAGAGCACTAGAGGCTGCTAGTAGGGCTTTGGTATTTCACTCCATGCATTCATCTTCACGTTAACGGCTACCTGCAAGAGCCCAAACTGCTATCATGGCACTGGTGGCTGTTAGGCAGTGAAGTAAATTTGTGGATATTAACCTTTTTGTCTACTTCTGTGGCCACAGATTCTCCAGCTATGTATCGGGAACCATGATCTATTTATGAGGAGAAGGAAAGCTGATTCTTTGGAAGTTCAGCAGATGAAAGCCCAGGCCAGGGAGGAGAAGGCTAGAAAGCAGGTGAGCAAGACCTTGTTCTCACTGATGATGTCACTGTGTGGTCAGTCCTGGCTTGGGAGGTGAGGAGTGGTTGTGGGCTGGCAAGAGTCTTTTTGCCATGGATATGCCTGCTCTTGTTTTATCTGGTTGGATCTTCATTTGCTGATGCCTATCTGGTGGGATGTCAGCTGTGGAAATGAGGAGTAAACCCTAATATCATATCTAAAAGAAACAGCCCTAGTAATTTCTACACTTAGAGAAGTTAGATATGATTAACACCGCTTTGGGACGAGGTAGCCAAGCACGCATGCATCTTTCCGTCTGGCTAGCTAGCTTGCTTGCTTTTTTTGCCTGTCTGCCTCCTTGCACAGCCTTCTCCTCTTCTAATTAGATGGTGATAGAATGCAGGGTGGCATTTCAGTGCTTGCTGCTGGGATGCTAATTTGACTCTGGCCGCACTTCCCCACTGCAGGTCAGGCCTCGTGACACGTCACCTGCCCCAGGAGGTGCCAGGAGCACCTATCAGCACACTGGGTGATCTGCATCATTGTTTTCTACTCATAAACCTTCTCTACTCATGGAAATCCACACAACTAATTTGGGCCTTACTGCTGAGAATATCAATTGTGTTTTTGGATAAACTACTAGATAGAGTAGCAGCAGCTGCAGTTGGCTGCCCTCAGGACTTGCAAGCTCCGAGGTGTAATAATTAGTCTGTGTACAGCTTTCTGATTTGGATACACATTGGAGAGGCTGGCTTCCAGCCCTAGGATTTAGAGTAAAATGCCCAGTGTGCTTCCAGCTCTCCATCTCTTTGCTTTCTGAGATGGCAGGCCACAGATGTGTTCTTTGGGGGGCTTTGGAGGTGATGGGTTAGTTTTTGTTGGACAAAGAAATGCTACTGAGCCAGTATGGGGTCATAGTGGCAGTTTCACAAAGAGTTCTTGGCAGTGGCTTCATCCCTATAACTCCAGCATTTTGGGAGGTCAAGGCAGGAGGATCACTTGCCTAGGAGTTTGAGGCTGCAGTGAGCTATGATTGCACCACTACATTCCAGCCTGGGTGACCAAGCAAGACCCTGTTTCAAAACAGAAACAAAAGCAAAATACCAAAAAACAAAAAGAAGAAGAGGAAGAAGGAAGAGGAGGAGGAGAGCTCTCCTTGACCTTTTTCTTAGCAGAGCAAAGCTTAGAAGTTAGAAATCTGAAAGCGTCAAGGAGTAGCCTGCGGGCCCTGGCAGAGAATAGCAGAAACACTGCAGATCGGTGCTGTGTACAGCACAGCAGAGCCACAGACTTGGCACCTGGGCAACAGCAGATCAGGTGGACAGACACTGGCCTTGGAGCCAGATCTGAAATTTAGAATGTGACTAAGTCAGTGACTTACCTTCCAGACCTCAGTTGTCTCATCCATCAGGTGAAACTAATGATACACCTTCTCCATCTCAGATGAAAGGACATATATTACACCTTACAGTCTTTATAAGCAGTAAACTGCTTTTGTGAATAGGAGGGTCCTTTATATTGGGGTAGAGGTCTCGGGGAAAGTACAGTGCCAGGAACTGAAGGAGATTACCTGGGCTTTTTTTTTTTTTTTTTTTTTTTTTTTTTTTTGATGTAGAAGAGAAAGGGTCTCGTTTTGTCATCCAGGCTGAAGTGCAGTGGTGCCATCATAGCTCACTGTAACCTCGAACTCCTGGGCTCTAGCAATCCTTCTGCCTTGGCTCCTCAAGTGGCTGAGAATGCAAGTGCACGCTACTACACCTAGTTAGTTTTAATTGTTTTGTAGAGATCAGGTCTTGCTGTGTTATCCAGGCTGATCTCAAACTCCTGGGCTCAAGCATTCCTCCTGCCTCAGTCCCACAAAGTGCTAGGATTATAGGCATGAGCCTCTGGGCCTGCCTTACCTGCCTGGGCCCTTCCTTCCTTCCTTCCTTCCTTCCTTCCTTCCTTCCTTCCTTCCTTCCTTCCTTCCTTCCTTCCTTCCTTCCCTCCTTCCCTCCTTCCCTCCTTCCCTCCTTCCCTCCTTCCCTCCTTCCCTCCTTCCTTCCTTCCCTCCTCCCTTCCCTCCTCCCTTCCTTTCTCCCTTCCTCCCTTCCTCCCTTCCTCCCTTCCTCCCTTCCTCCCTCCTTCCCTCCCTCTCTCCTTCCCTTCCTTCTTTCCTTTTTTTGAATTATAGAGATGTAGTAATCCACCTTATGGAAATTGTAATATGATGGAAATTAGAGAACAAACTGGCCACGCTTTTTATTGACTTGCAAGAAGAAAACTAGAGAACTTCTACTGTTTTATTGTTTCTCTTTGCATTATCCTTTCAAGCTCCTGTGTGTGTGTGTGTGTGTGTGTGTGTGTGTGTGTGTGTGTGTGTGTAAAATAAAATTGTTTTTGGCTTAGGATTTAGAAAAAGCAGCAGTTTTAAAAACCTTGTATGACCAGAGTGTGGGCTAAGATTGAAGCAAGAAGTAATTAAATGTGCTTTAATTATTTAAGGCAGAAAATAGTGCAGTGGTCACTTCTGGATTCTGCTTTTGAACTCAGTTAGTACCCTGAGATCACAGAGGAACGGCACTGTCTTGTGCTTGTTCCCCTTATTAAGCTCAGCATGTGGTCCAATTAATGCAGTGATCCAGAAGGCAAGGGAGGTGGTGGTGGCTTTGTACTGTTGCCTTAAGGACAGGGGGCTGTGTTCCCCGCCTGGCTTCCTCCTGTCATAGGCCTGGCTCAGGAGTTGTCTCTGCGTGAGGCTGTGCAAGTCTGTGCTGTGGCTGTTGCAGAAATACAATGCGTGAACTATTGATGCATCATGCAGAATGATTTCATCTTCTCTGTGGGTCAGAGGCAAGAGTGGAGCTATTGTTGATGAAATCAGAGATGTGAGAGGGGTCCACGTGGATTAGAAATGGTGAGCTGGCTTGCCTGACCAGATGAGAAAGCTGCTTATTTCTGGGGCTCTGTCTCAGAGAGGAGAATCCTGCATTGAATCCCGTCAGCCACTGGCCAGAGCCGCCTGAGGTTTCCCAACAAAAAGCATCATTGGCAAGGTAGCCATTCCAGTGCACCGTGTATAAGAATGCCTCTTTCTATCCAGGTCGAGACTTGGCTTGTTTTTTTGTTGTTTGTTCATTTGTTCATTCACCATTAGAATTTTTTTCAAGGGGCACAACTTTCCATTCTGCAATTGGTTTAGAAGGATGGGGTTACAGGGCAATAAGAATGACCCTGGCTACCTAAAGGAAAGGGAAGAAAAAGGTCCCAAAAGGGGAGACTCTGGAGATGGGGCATCTTTGGTCCCTTGTGGCACCCAGGTCTTGAGCCCTGGGTGATTTGATGACTGTTTTTCTTCACCCCCTGCAGATGGAGCGGCAGCGCCTCGCTCGAGAGAAGCAGATGAGGGAGGAGGCCGAACGCACGAGGGATGAGTTGGAGAGGAGGCTGCTGCAGCTGAAAGAAGAAGCGACAATGGCCAATGAAGCACTGGTGATTTCTGAGGGACTGGGGTTCCAGGAGGCTACCTGGGGACTTCCTTGGCTTTTCTGGAGCTCAGTCTCCTGAGGACCATGAGTTACCATCATTTGCTTGAATATACTTTATTTCAGCTTTTCAAAAGTTAGTGCCTTTTCTTTCCACCTGTGTTGGCAGAAGCAGATTTAGGTTGAGCTCATGTGCAGCCAAGTTCCACTTTCACCACAAGGTTGCCTTTACAGCCCGGCTTCTCGGCCCAGGCACTACTGACATCTGGGGCTGACCATCCTTTGTTGTGGGCACTGGATGCCAGTAGCAGCACCTCACCTTCCATTTGTAACAATCAAAGCACCTTCAGACATTGCCATGTCTCTCTTTTTTTTTTTTTTTTTTTTTTTTGGAGATGATATTTTGCTCTTGTTGCCCAGGCTGGAGTGTAATGGTACGATCTCAGCTCACTGCAACCTCCGCCTCCCAGGTTCAACTGATTCTCCTGCCTCAGCTTCCTGAGTAGCTGGGATCACAGGCGCATGCCAACACACCTGGCTAATTTTTTGTGGTTTTTTGGTAGAAAGAGGGTGTTACCATGTTAGCCAGCCTGGTCTTGAACTCCTGACCTCAAGTGATCTCACCTCGGCCTCCCAAAGTGCTAGGATTACAGGCGTGAGCCACCATGCCCAGCCTGCTGCATGTCTTGCAAGGAGCAAAAAGCTCCTCTGGTTCGAACCCCTGATTTAAAGGGAAAGAACAGAATTTAAGTTGTTTTTCTCCACGTGACACATAAGCCTGAACTGCAGTGGGTACTCAGAGGAGGTGCTCTTTTTGTTCCCCATGGGTGCAGCCTGAAGGGCCCTTCTGAAAAGCTGGGGAATGTGGCTTGTCACCTCTTGTCAGAGGGTCATGGGGGCACTCAGCAGCAGGGCCCCAGGAGTCCGAGACTCTGGTTTGTCCTATCTCAGTGTTTAAGGCAGATCTGGGTGGGAGAATAGCACATGATCCCACTTCAGCTAAGAGCCCCGTGCCTTCCAGATGCGGTCGGAGGAGACAGCCTGACCTGTTGGCTGAAAAGGCCCAGATCACCGAGGAGGAGGCAAAACTTCTGGCCCAGAAGGCCGCAGAGGCCGAGCAGGAAATGCAGCGCATCAAGGCCACAGCCATTCGCACAGAGGAGGAGAAGCGCCTGATGGAGCAGAAGGTGCTGGAGGCCGAGGTGTTGGCGCTGAAGATGGCTGAGGAGTCAGAGAGGAGGTGAGGGGACGCCGAGCACCAGACTGGCAAGGAGGCTGGTGAAGGGCCGCAGTCCAGCCTGCCCTGAGGCTGAGCTCCATAGCAGCCGCTCTCAAGCTGCTTCCCCATCTCCTGGACTGGAGGGAGGCTACTTCTTTGCTGATGGTGACTGGTGCTTCATCCAGTTTGGGGCTGGCACTACCGGATGGGCACAGTTCTCCTGCCAGGAGCACCTCTCTGGTTGTGCTTGTACCTCTGTGATAATCCCCTGACCCTCTGATGGCCGTGTATGCAGGAAAACCCCTGAGCATATCCACAGATTGCTTTCAGCTGAAGAGATGTGAGAAGGCTCTTTGTTCATTTTTAAAAACAACAACAACATGGTTCTTTTCTGCTTTCATTCAGTGGAGCTGCAGAACAGCAGCTGCTTACCTTTAAAGGGAAACTAGTACCTGCATCCCCCAGCCTTCCTTGGCACATGGGGGAGGAGGGCTAGGATAGTCTCTGTGACTGGGATGTCCCACTCATGGCCAGGTTGACGGATGGAACTGTTGTCTGTACTTTTGAAAGACTATTCTAGGCCTGCAACCTTCAGATAAACACTGACACATTCCCCACAGCTTTTGGCTGTTGATTTAGAGCACTTGAATTTGGCTTTTAGTTACCAAGGTGCATTCACTACAGCTTTCCTTACCACTGTTTGCATGTTCATTCTGGGAATATGGTTTCTTTTTGCCTGCCCTGCTTCAGCCCCCTTGCTGTATACAGGTCACACTCCCTGTGCATGGCAGATGAGAGGTGCAGACAGCCTGCAGTTAGGGGCTAGATAGAACACCCTGGTCTGCCATTTGGCTTTGGACTAGGGACTGTACACAGACAACCTGTGATGCAGGTTGGGCCAGGCCCCTGTGCCAAGCCTCATATGCCGTGTCCACCCCAAGCCCCACAGGGTGAGGATCTTCGCCAAGGTTCAGTGCCCTCAGTGACAGTGCTCATCTTCCCACCGGAGAAAGTGGGCACAAGGCCCGCAGGTGTTTTACCCGGGGACTGTGAAGACGCAGCTCTTGCATATTCTGCCCTTTGTGATCTGATGTAAGAACTTCGATCCTCCAGGCTTTTCCTTTGCCCAGCTTACTTTCACCCAAAAATAAAGCAGAGAAAACTGCTGGTGCCTCCTCCAGCTCCTCCCTCTCCTGGCTACAGACAGTCTGGTTTCTCTCATTCCCCACCAGTTTTCCTGCTCTTGCAGTTTAGATTTACCAGCTCAAACGAAAATCTTCAGGAATGTTGTCCTTGCTTTGCAAGTTTTCATGTAAATGTCCCTGTCCCACTGTCCTTTTTTGCCTCTTCAGGTACCATCCTCAGGGTTGACCAAGGTCTCCTCTGCACAGGTGGGGTAGGGTCTTTTCCCTCCACATGCCCTGTTCTGTGAAGCTGACATCTCCTCCTTTCCTTGCAGGGCCAAAGAGGCCGATCAGCTGAAGCAGGACCTGCAGGAAGCGCGTGAGGCAGAGCGAAGAGCCAAGCAAAAGCTCCTGGAGATTGCCACCAAGCCCACGTACCCGGTGAGCATGGGGGGGTTGCCAGCTGGGGCTGCCTTAGCCCTGGTGATATTCTCTTTCCTCCCGGCCCTTCAGTTCATGTGGCAGTGCCTTCAGGCTGACCATTCAAGTAAACGCATGGCAGGATGAGAGGTGCAGAGAGCCTGCAGTTAGGGACTGGGTAAGACACCCTGGGCTGCCATTTGGCTTTGGACTAGTTAGTTGTCTCTCTGGTTGCCTAGATAATAGGGCCTTTTCCAGCTCTGGAATCTTTTTCATGTTCTAAGTAATATAGTCCCAAATTATCCTCAAGAGAATTTGCTCTCTTGCCTCTTAATGCTGAGCTGAATGTAATCTTCAACTATCAGTATATACCATATATCATAATTATAGTTTTGGGAAGGGATTGGCTGTACATCTCAGAGTGAATTATTGCTGTGCAAAAACGAGCAGCCAATCTCAGTTTCAGGACAGAGAGGCAGACTTCCTATTAAATGGGGTCACAAAATGAATAGAAGCCTCTTTCTTTCCTTTCTTCTGTGCATTCAGTTCGGCACTTTTTTTTTTTTTTTTTTTTTTGCCTATTTGTTCTGCGTCCACATAGTGCCACGTAGTTGGAAGTCTCTGTCCTGCCAGGTGTTCTCAGGGTGCACAGGTGCCTAGAGGAGGAGGACACAGCCCAGCCTGGAGGGGCAGGAGAGGCTCAGTATGGTGTCTGCACTGAAGCTTGAAGTAGGAGGAGGAAGTAGCCAGGTGGAGAAGAGAACATAGGGTAGTCAGGATGAGGGCACAGAGGCACACGTGGCCCAGACTCACGCACGGCACAGTCATGCACATGGCACATCCACACACAGCACGGACAAACACACACACACCGTACATACATTCATGCACACGGCACAGGCACATACATGACGCAGATGCACATAGGGCACCAGAGGCACAAGCTGCCCACGGTTCGAGGTTTGGGAAATGTAAGCAGTTTGCTATATCCTGGTTCTCTGTTACTGTGTAATAACCCACCCAAGCCAACCGTGTGGCCCAAAACAATCCTTTATTAGTACCTCTGGTGGCTTGTTGGGTTGACTGGGCCAGACAGAGATCCTTGCTGGGGATCTCTCTGGTGGTCACAGTCACATGGTAGCTGGGACAGGAGTCATCTGAGCCCTCAGTGTGTGTTGTTTTTATTTATTATTACTATTTTATTTATTTATTTATTTAGAGAGTTTCACCTGTCGCCCAGGCTGGAGTGCAGTGGCACAGTCTCGGCTCAGTGCAACCTCCACCTCCTAGGCTCAAGCGATCCTCCCACCTCTTGTCTCTTGAGAAGCTGGGGCCATAGGTGTGCACCTCCATGCCTAGCTAATTTTGTGTGTGTGTGTTTGGTAGGGACAGGGTTTTGACATGTGGCCCAGGCTGGTCTCAAACTCCTAAGCTCAAGTGATCTGCTCACCTCCTCAGCTTCCCAAAGTGCTGGGATTATAGGTGTGAGCCACTGCGGCCCAGTCTATGTGTGTTGTTTTTAAAATATACACTGGAGCAAACTTTATACACTGCTGTATCCATTCTTTCCTCTTAGCAGTCAATCCTGGAGGAGATGATCCATACCAGCTTTTTAATCATGTTTTATTGTGTGGATGGATTGTAATTCATTTAACCAGTCCCTCACGGATGAGCATTTAGTCTGTTTTCTTTTGCAATTTTGAACAAAATAGCACTGAACATCCCTGAACACAAATCTTGACACACACACGTGGATATATTGGTAGAATAAATTCTCGTAATAGAACTGTGGGGTCAAATTTTCCATTTTGATACTCTCCAAAGAAGTCGTACCAGTTCATGCTCTCACTAGTGGTACAGCAACTAGAACTCGTTTTTTCTGGAAATTTTTATGACGTATAACATACATATAGAGAAGTGCCAAAATTACAACTATACAGCTTGAAGAATTTTCACAAACTGGAGATACCCAGATCAGAAAACAGGATGTCCCTGGCACCCCAGGAGCCTTCTCTTGCCACCCTTGCAGACGGTCTGCCTCAGGCCTTGAAAGTGTCTCAAATGAATGTTCCAAGCCTCTACTCTTTCCCAGACACTGTCCTGAACTCAGTAAGGGATCCAAGGATGAAAACGAGGCAGATCGTTTGCAGGAAACTTGCAAATAGTAGAAAGACACAGCCAAAAAGAAATCTTTTACAGGGTGGAATCGCTGTAAAAAGAGCCATTAGAGAACCATAAACACAGTGTTAAGGGAGACAGCAAAGAAAAGGGTTGCTGGCTGGCTGGGAGGAGCTAGAAAGGCTTTGGTGAGAGACTGTGGTATTTGAGAAGAGCCTTGAAAGAGGGATGAAGTATAGGGAGGAGAAATGGGGATAGGCAAGGATACCGAAATGGGAAAGCAGTAGTCCAGGGGATCATAAAAAGTACTGTCTGGGACTTAGTAGGGCAAATCGTGGGAGAAGCCGGGGAGCTAGATTGGGGCCCTCTTTAGAAGACCCTTTGTTCTGGGATGAAAGTAAAAAAAAAAAAATCTAATTTCATCACTCCTGCTTCCCCGTTTTTGTTCCCTCTGGGTGCAGCCCGAAGGGCCCTTCTGAAAAGCTGGGGAATGTGGCTTTTCAGAAGGGCCCTTCGGGCCTCCTCTGAAAGTTTTGCCTCCTCCTCGGTGATCTGGGCCATTTCAGCCAACAGGTCGGCCGTCTCCTCGGACCGCATCTGGAAGGCACGGGGCTCTTAGCTGAAGTGGGATCATGTGCTATTCTCCCGCCCAGATCTGTCTTAAACACTGAGATGGGACAAACCAGAGTCTCGGACTCCTGGGGCCCTGCTGCTGAGTGCCCCCCATGACCCTCTGACAAGAGGTGACAAGCTGTACTCTGGTTCTATTGTCCAAGCACAAACCCCTCGGTGGGCAGGTGGAGCCTTTGTGGTGGTGCCCATCTCCCACCCCTCCTATCCACATGACAGACTCCTGGTACCCTCACTGGGGACTGCCCAACCCGCTGCCATGCCTCCCACTGGCAAACCTTCTCCTGGCACTGTCTGGGATCGCAGCAAAAGCAGCATCTCTTCTAGCCTCTATTCGCTCCCTGGCTACAGTGTTTACCTTATTTAACAGTGATGATCTATGAACACATCTGTTTCCTGAACAAGATTTTCAGCTGCTCAGAGCCAGGGACGATGTCTTGTTTTCAGCATTTCCAGCCCCTCACAAAGGGTCCAGGAGTTTCCTAAATAAAAAAGCGAGTGGGAGCTTGTGTTTGATTCAACTGAACATGAAGACCGGTTAAAAATTTGAAGGATGAGGGATGATTTTCCTGGATTTGTATTCTTTGCTATTGTCCACCTGGCGGTGGCAAATGTGAAAGAATTGAAGTGGAGGGATGGGGGCTTGTGGTGGCACTGGGAGGTGGGACCTGAGTTGTGCCCATCACCTCTGTGGCTGCTGGAGGATTGGTTGTCAACACAGTAGTGCCCTTCTGCTCTTGTATGACCCAAAGCTCCTAATCTGAGATTTCTCATTAATAGCCCATGAACCCAATTCCAGCACCGTTGCCTCCTGACATACCAAGCTTCAACCTCATTGGTGACAGCCTGTCTTTCGACTTCAAGGATACTGACATGAAGCGGCTTTCCATGGAGATAGAGAAAGAAAAGTATGTAGCCTCCTGTGCCCTGCTGTGGGCAGCCGTGAACTAGAGTGAGTGACGGGGGCCTTGGGAGCCCAGGGCAGAGGTGAGGGCAGCAGCCTCCCATTAGCTCCTGCAAAGGTTTCCTCTGTTCTTACTCCCTGGAGGAAGAATTTCCTTAATCAGAAATTAAGGGACAACAGATCAGCATTCATTCTTCCAGGATAAAAATAACACTTGACTGGTGACCTGGCATTTATGGTGGCTCCAAACCTCATTTAAAGTGTAGGACTGGGTTGTTAGCATCTCCGGGTCGGTTCAGCTGCTCTTGTACTAGACTGTGGTCATCTCCTAGTTGCGTTCTCCAGCGACTGGTATCTGTGGTGGTTCCCACGTCTAGAACGAACAAAGGTGAGAAGAGACTCAGGCTCTAGGCTGAAGAAGGCCGACAGCCAGGTGGGCCCCACTTTGCTGCAGTGGGTGGTGCTGGCCAGGGCCCCAGCACGGCCTAATCATGGCAGCTTTTGCTGAGCTGCCCTCTACCCAGCCTCTGTCTTCCCTTGATGGTGAGTAGAAGTGGGTCAGAGATGGAAGGGATCCCCACTGCAGAGGCAGTCTAAGTGAGGGTCCCTAGTTCCCGGAACTGGCGGTTAACTGCTGCCGCCTGTCGGAAGACATCCACAGTAGCCAGCAGGCATCGAGTGCCTATGTGTCAGGGGTTTTGGCTTTTGTCCATTTAATTTCTACTAGTTAACAAACATCAAACTGACATCAAAGGTAGGTTTTCATGTCCCCATTTTCTAAGTGAGAACTTGGATTTAGAGAGTTTAATGAACTCCCCCAGCATCACACAGCTGATGCAGAGGAGCCCCAGGGTTAAAACCTCTCCCCACCTGACACTGCAGCCGGTGTGCTTTCCCCATGGGTAGCATCCTCAGGAAAACCCTTTGGGGAAAGTGTCTCCATGGAGTCCAGCATGAGTAACCACAACCCAGGCTATTTCACTTTGGGCTCTCACACTTAGGGTATAGCTAAGTAGCCAGTGAACCAGACCCTCTGGCCGTCATATCTGCTGTCCATGTTCCTTTCACCATTATCCAGACATATATATTTATGGGGTTGGGACTGGGGATAGGGGTGAAGCTATTCTGTGTCTACTGTTTTATAGTTTGTATTTTGTTACTATTTTAGTTTGTTTTGGCTACTGTAACAAAATACCAGAGGCTGGCTAGCTTATAGACAACAGAAATTTATTTATGAGCCAGGCACGGTGGCTCATGCCTGTAATCCCAGCACTTTGGGAGGCCAAGGTGGGTAGATATCTTGAGCCAAGAGTTCAAGACTAGCCTGGGCAACATGGCAAAACCCCATTTCCACTAAAAATGTATAGATTAGGTGGGTGCGGTGTCACATGCCTGTGGTCCCAGCTACTCACGAGGCTGAGGTGGGAGGATTGCTTGAGCCTGGGAGGCAGAGGTTGCAGTGAGCTCAGATCTCAATACTGCACCCAGCTGGGGCAACAGAGAGACACCTTGTCTCAAAAGAAAAAAAGAAAGAAAGAAATTGATTTCTTACGGTTCAGGAGGCTGGGAAGGCCAAGATCAAGGCATGGGCAGAGGTAAAGTCTGCCTGGTTCATAGTCGGCGCCTTGTCACTATGTGCTCACACAGTGGAAGGGATGAGGGGTCTCTCTGGAGCCTGTTTTATAAGGGCACTAATTCCATTTGTGAGGCTCTACCCTCACGACCTCCCAGAGGCCCCACCTCCTGACACCTTCACATTGGCGATTAGGTTTCAACATAGGAGTTTTGAAGAGACACAAACATTCAGCCCATAGCACTTCTTACCCTTGCACATGTTGACATTCGCTCTACTAACCATGGCAATCCCTACAGAGTATTTCTTGATATTTGTGTTGCATGGTTTTTCTGGCTATGTCCTTGTAGTTGGACACTTTGTGGTGGTTTCTAGATTTTTCACCATCATAGATGCTGTCACTCAGTGTATCTGCTCTCAGGTGAGGGTGGGGATCTTTTTTTCCTTGCATTCTGTGAGCTTCTGAGTGAGCTTCTGTCATCTTCAGATGAAGTCTCAGAACATGTGGGAGTATGGATGTGGCCTATCAAAAGAAATCATGTGAGGCTGGGTGCTGTGGCTTGTGCCTGTAATCCCAGCACTTTTCAGGCCAGGAGTTCAAGACCAGCCTTGGCAGCATAGCAAGATCCTATCAAAAAAAAAAAAAAAAAAAGAGGTTATTGAATTATTGCTCCAAGAAGGGAGATTGTTTTGGGTTGCAGGAAGTTTGTTTCATGTTTTTTTGTTTTTGTTTTTGGTACAGAATGAAAAGCTATCTGTGACAGCTGGTATTTGTAGAGCCCCCTCTGAGAATTTACTGAGGGCTTTCCTACTCTTTTTCTTTTCTTTTTTCTCTTCTCTTTTTTCTTTTTCCTTTTCTTTTTTTTTTTTTTTTTTTTTTTGTAATAGACACAGGATCTCCTTATGTTTCCCAGGCTGGTCTCCAACTCCTGGGCTCAAGCAATCCTCCTGCCTCAGCCACCCAAAGTGCTGGGATTACAGGGGAGCCACTGTGCCTGGCCTCCTACACTTTTTTAAACTTAATTCTGACCACAGTCCTGTGATCGTTATCCCAATTTTAATGATGAGGAAACATTCATAGCAGTGACCAGCCCAAGCTCCCACGGCCTGTGAGTGGCCAAGCAGAGATGTGAACCCCAGGCCTCAGACCTAGGTCCTGTGCCAAGCAGCTTATGGGCCACAGAGCACCTGAGCTGTGTCTCACCATCTGCCCAAACCCTGATGCACAATACCCTCTTGCTGGCAGAGTGGAATACATGGAAAAGAGCAAGCATCTGCAGGAGCAGCTCAATGAACTCAAGACAGAAATCGAGGCTTTGAAACTGAAAGAGAGGGAGACGGCCCTGGACATTCTGCACAACGAGAACTCCGACAGGGGCGGCAGCAGCAAGCACAATACCATTAAAAAGGTACCCAGGCTCTCTTTCTTGTATTTTGCTGATCAGGACAGTCATTAATGAAATGTGTGTTGGCATCTGGTTTCCTCAGTAGCCAAGTCACTAGAATGTTGGCATCTTTTGTACGTACTTAGTTGAGGACATTTTTTGACTCATGCCAGAAAGGGAATTTTAATCTGCCAATGACTGTGAACCCATTGGCTTGATGGAAGTTGAGCTTGTGTTAAAAGCTCTGAGGTAATGAACCCCAGTTACAGGATGGGTTTTGAGCCATCATTTAGCAGTAAAGCAGAATGCCCTTTTAAGCCAAGGGGTGTTGTGCCCAGGGAGCTGCTTTACTTAATGAGAAAGCAGAATGAAATGGAGGGTTTGAGAATGGACTTTCCCTTTAGACTTGCTGTGTCTTTAAGTGGCAAGGACTATAAAACCAAACTGAATTTTTAACTTGTTTTCCTACTTAAAAGGAAGTGTCCAGGAGAGGACCTCTTTGTTTTAAAAGAGAAGACCTCATTATGTTGCAGATGGTTTCATATCTTTCTCTATTTGTATTTTGAGCTTTCAGCATTGTTGAGATTCGGAAGCTAAATTCCATATTAATTATCAGCCCAAGAGCATACCTCTCTCATTTGGGCCAAGCAGAAGGGTCCCCTCTTGCCAAATAATGCTCTGCTTTTAACTGATAGTCCTGGATCAGGTTAACACCTGAAAATAGGTATTATTAAGACCGTCGGCCGGGTGCAGTGGCCCACGCCTGTAATCCCAGCACTTTGGGAGGCCGAGGCAGGTGGATCACCTGAGGTCAAGAGTTCGAGACCAGCATGACCAATATGGTGAAATGCTGTCTCTACTAAAATTACAAAAATTAGCTGGACGTGGTGGTGTGCGCCTGTAATCCCAGCTACTAGTGAAGCTGAGGCAGGAGAAGCACTTGAACCCTGGAGGCGGAGGTTACAGTGAGCTGAGATCGCACCACTGCACTCCAGCCTAGGCAACAGAGCCAGACTCCATCTCAAAAAAAAACAGGACTGCCCACTGAGTAGGTAATACTGATATAGTTAATTTTTACTCTTCACTTCAATCTTTAAAATGGGCTTCCAGTTTTACCTAAAGGGCTTCCCTTTACATTCCTGGGGTTTTGTCACTGTTGAGAGCTTAGTTTTCTTGCTTGTTTCTGGTAGCTCTAGATAGAAGAATGTATCTACCTCTTTTCCAAAAGTCTACAAGCCAATACTGTTTTTGGTTAAGAGACTTTACCCAGTCAAGCAGTTGTTCTTTGGGAGGTCTCTGTGTTTGGTGGTTAGGCTGCATCTGAAAACTCCAGGGAATCTGTTTCTACCTGCCACTGCTGTTACAGGGGGCAGTAGGGAGCCCTGACTTCTACCTCTCAACTCCAGTCACAACTGGCACCGGGTAGAAGATTCCTTTAAATAGCGCAGCCTAGAAAGAAGGGCATGTCCACATTCCACATTGTTCTTTCCTCTGGCTTCTGTAATTTACTGGGCTTTCCTTCCAAAACAAAATTATTAAACAGTAAAGGGGAGTTCAAGGGAGGCCTCAGCCATTAAGGAAAGAGGTAAAATGATGACTGGGCCAATGAGCCAATCAGCCCTTAAATGATCTGCCTCAGACACCCCACCTCACCCCTTACCTCCAGCCTTGTCATCTGGGTCCCAGGAGCAGTCTCACCCTTTCCACCACTGCTGTAATGAGCAGGGGCCTCAGCCACAGACACCTGCAGTGCTGAAAGCTGAAGAGACCCCGTTCCAAGCCACTAAAACGAACAAAATCACTCCTTACAATTTCAGACCTATCCAAGCATTTTGCAAATGTCACTTGTGGCATTGTTGATATCACAGGGTATGTTTTTGTTTTTCTTCATTTTATTTTGCTGGTTTAGCCTCAAGCCCAAGGCAGAAGACCTATCTGCATTTGAGCCCTCAAAGTAGGTTGTTCCCAGGTACTCTCTATGTGGTGATGGTACTGCCCTCTGTGATACTAACCCGTGCATGAGCTTGCCTGTCTCTGTCCTCGGGCCACGCTGAGCCCTCACGAGGGCAGGTGGTGCCTGGGTACTGGCCGCAGCATGCTTTGAGTCTAAGGCAGGCGCCTGCCCTGTGGAGCCAGACCAGCCTCCAGGGCCCCAGAAGACTGCCTCGTTCTGAAGAGCATGTCATGGGGATGTAGGACCAGCCATTCTTTCCATCTCATGTCATTCTTGGGCTGGGGAAGGTTATGGCTTCTTGTCCAGTCAGGTGTGTCTAAAAGTCCTTTGTCTTGGTGGCGTACTCCTTAGATAAATAACCCTAGCATGGAAATGGGGTCAATCTGGGCACTTTGAGACTGGTATCTTTAACTCAAGATCAAGACCTTTCATGCGGTGACAACCTCTCAAGACCCATGGTCACACCTGGCAGCTTCTGGTCGTGGGGTGAAGGGGTTGCCTGTGCTGGCTCATTTTCCTTTAGAGCTTCCCCTTTCTCTACACATCCCTTTTCTTTTCAAATAAAGCAAACCCAGAGCACAGGGTTCTGATGTTTGAGTCCATGGGGAGTGGCCTGTCTGTTCATCTGTGTTCAGCCGCCTCTGCTTCAGCTTCCTCTCCACAGGCTGAGCAGTGATGTGGTCGGAGTGAACTCACATTGGAACAGTGCAGTCACGGCCCCCCTGAGAGGAGCGGTCACTGGTTGCTGAGTGAATTAACTGAATGTTTGCTGCTTTTCTTCTGCAACAGTTCATTATTCTTTCAGCATGCCTAGGCAGTGGAGAGAATTTATTTTGCCAAATAATAAAATGACATCCTGCCTCTTCTTCTCACCTAATCCCCAGTAGTACCCACGCCAACAAGGCCCGCACCACCCGCCAGCAGCCTGGGATGTTTTCTCTGGAGTCTTCCCCACAGTTTCTGCCTGTAGAATAGAATAAGCTCATTGGAAGCTTCCTACCAAAAAGAGAACTGGCATAAGATAGGTCCTACTTGTGGTCGTTATGCCATCAGGAGAGGTCAGCTGTTAAAGTCCCTGATAAATCTTATTATAAGGTACACTTGAGCTGTCAGTGGTTCCAAGAATCCATGGCATGAACCTTGTTTCATATGTGACACTTTCTATTTAGCAGGCTCCTGTGTCTTCAGCTTTCATACCCACATTGGCATTGATACCCTGACACAGAACAGTGCGTGCTTTAAGCAGGACAGTTATGGCCAGCAATGTGGGTATGAAAGCTGAAGACAGGCAGGCCAGCTCACGGGGCCCAGAGCAGCCAGGTGGACCCACCTTGGTTTACTGAACTTTGTGAACCACGGGGGCAAGCAGAAAACCCCACTGTATTCCAGCCAGTGCTGCCAAGTGTTCCCTCCATGGGCAGATGCTGCTCAACCCCAGTGTGATTTCCTCTTGCTTCTTTCTGTAATGATGCAGAATGCTTAAATTCTTCAGGTCTTGATTTTGACTGTCATTTCTCACTGAGCTTTTACTACAGACAAAAGAAGCTTCATTTTTCGTTCAATTTGCACTGCTCTGAGGACATACATGGATGCATTTATTTATTCACTCATTTCAATGTCTTGATGTGAACTTGTTTTTAAAGCAGGCTACCGGGCAGTTAATCAGATACTGGTTAATCAAGGGTTAGGAAAGGCATGGACTTGATATTTAAATGACAGGTGTTCTCTCAGCATTGCTAGATTAAATAACGCTGCACAATTAAATTCTGCTGCTCATGAAGTTCACTGCACGTTCCATTTTCTAGAGTTTGGCAGTCCCTGTGGTCAGTGACCGGGACTGATGACCAGCTACATGCCGGCACCACGGTGGCTCTGGGGTGGTGCATGCTCTAGTCTGGCTGACACAAGCCTAGCTGAAGAGAAGTGCTACTTTGGGCTTGGATGTGGAGGTATCTAGATATCAAAGGCAGAACTCCACCTAGAATGCCTGGGGATGAGAAAAGCAAAGGCTGGTAGTGAATGGAACAGTTTCCAGTGTCCCAAAAGCGCGCTCATCTGGGTTCAAACCAGCCTGCATTGGTGTTAGTTTTGTTTTGTTTTGTTTTGAGACAGTGTCTCTCTCTGTCACCCAGGCTGGTGTGAGCTCAGCTCACTGCAGCCTCCACTTCCCGGGCTCAAGTGATCTTCCTGCCTCAGCCTCCCAAGTAGCTGGGACTACAGCCACCAGCCACCATACTCAACTGATTTTTGTATTTTGTGTCGAGATGGAGTTTTGCCATGTTGCCCAGGCTGGTCTCGAACTCCTGAGCTCAACTGATCCTCCCACCTCTGCCTCCCAGAGTGCTGGGATTACCAAAGTGAGCCACTGTGCCTGGCCTGTTTTGTTATTAATATTTTGTTTGTTTTTTTGAGACAGGGTCTCAGTCTGTCACCCAGGTTGGTGACAGCCTCGACCTTCGGGGCTCATGCGAACCTCCCAACTTAGCCTCCCAAGTAGCTGAGACTAGAGGCACATGCCACCATGCTTGACTGATTATTTTTATTTTTGTAAATATGGGTTTCCCCATGTTGTCCAGGCTGGTCTTGAACTCCTGAGCTCAAGTAGTCTTCCCGCCACGGCCTCCCAAAATGCTGGGGTTATAGACATGAGCCATCTTGCCTGGCCGTTATATTTGTCCTCACTTTCAGTACTCTTCTGCCTCACTGAGAGGTCTCAGAGTATGCTGTCTGGTTTCAGCAGTACCCATGGGGGCCGTGTAACATGAAGCTAATTCAAGGGGTTTGCCCTTAGGTTACGAGGGGTTACTGCATTCCCTCAGGAATTCTGAGTGGCCATCCACTCTGATTAACTGAGATTCTCACTTTTTGGCCACTTTCTTTCTCTGCAATTCTTACTCTCTTGAGGCACAGTGTCCTCACCTGCAAAAGGTGAATAGAAACGGTCTTTGGCCCCCAGGACTGTTGTGAGGAATAAACAAGGGAGTGTGCATGAAACAGCGCACAGTCAGAACTCAGTAAGGGCTTAAAACTCCGCAAAGGGAAAATCTGCTTGTGGTTCCGCGGCAAAGGG